TGACTTACATGTGTGACTTAGATGTGTGTGACTGACATGTGTGACTAACATGTGTGTGACCTACATATGTGTAACTCACGTGTGACTCACCTGTGCAGCTGCTGTTCCTGTCAGACGTCTCTGTGTGAATCAAGTTGTTCGTCATGTCTGAGTCAAGCAGTGATGGAGGGAAGTGGTTGGACGCTCACTATGACCCGGTGGCGGGCCTCTTCACTTTCTCGTCGTGTGTGGACCTGGCGGACCTGAGCGGGGACGGGGAGAGTCGGCTGGTGGTTGGCGACCTGGGCTCGGGTTCATCAGGCATGAAGCTAAAGGTGTACCGGGGGACAGCGCTGCTGAGTGAGAGCACCCTTCTGGACCTTCCCGCTGGCCTCGTCGCCTTCTTCATGGACCTGCATGAGCCGCGCATCCCCGCCGTTGCCGTGGCGTCCGGACCCTGCGTCTATGTCTACAAGAACCTGAGGCCGTACTTCAAGTTCACGCTGCCCGGTCTGGAGGTGAACATGCTGGAGCAGGTGAGTGTTTGTGTCGTGGTTGGTCTCAGGGTTGTGATAAAAATTTCTCTGTGACATGTGTCTGTGCTCTGATTGGTCAGGACGTGTGGCAGCAGGTGAGGGAGGGTCAGATCGACCCTCTGACCCTGAAGGAGATGCTGGAGAGCATCAGGAAGAAGGCAGATGTCCCACTGTCTGTGCGTTCGCTCAGGTTCCTCTCTCTGGAGACTAACCACATGGATGAGTTTGTCCAGCTGCACAAACAGCAGCCAATCAGACGACAGGTAACAGTCGCATCATCATCATTTCATTGATGAACAAACATGGCAAGTGACTTTAGCGCTGATCAGAAACCATCTTTTAGAAACATTTATTTAATGTCTATTCAGATTTTTTTGTTTGGTCCATGTCCCATCTGCTAACATGTAGGAGGTTTATAACCTGTACTGCAGCCAGCCACCAGGGGGCGACCAAGATGATATGGCTTAGCTTATTTTAAAGTGACGTGAAAGCAGCAGAAGAGAGAGACAGGAAGTGGTGATCAGATCATTATCAATTATTGATTATCTGTGATGTTGTTTCAGACGGTCATCACCTGCATCGGGACTCTGAAGAAGAGCACGGCCGATGAGGACGGCGTCAGCTGTTTGGTGATCGGGACAGAGAGCAGCGACGTCTACGTCCTCGACCCCGAGGCCTTCATCATCCTGTCCAAGGTAACGTGTCACTGAGGACTATTTTCTCTGCAGTCTGAGCCACGGAGGAACACGGGAGTCGTTATCAGACTCTGATCTGTAACATCAGCCTGGTTTGATTTTTATATGTGTTGAAATGAAACATCTGTCGTAGATGACGCTGCCGTCTCCCCCCACCATGATGGATGTGACGGGTCAGTTCGACGTGGAGTTTCGCATTACGGTGGCGTGTCGCAATGGAAACATCTACATCCTGCGCAGGTGAGACACGCACACGTGTTGGAGGGAACCTCTGATGTGTCAGAACAAGAAGATGTGCACTGACGTCACAGACGCACATTTGTTTTAAAACAAACGTGAAGTTGCATGTTGACTGACGTCTGTGCTGCTCCTCAGGGAATCGGACAAACCGAAGTACTGCATCGAGCTGGCGTCTCACCCGGTGGGTCTGGTCAGAGTCGGGAAGAACGTTGTAGTCGGCTGCACTGATGAAAGTCTCCAGGGCTTCACGCAGAAGGTAAACTCCACCGCACAAAACCACCTGACTTTAACCATTGTTACCAAGACAACAGTGACTGAGGGGGGTCTTGAACTTCCACTTCATTGAACCACCTGACGTAAATCTGACCAAACACAGGACAAGCTGAGCTTTGTGTCTGGCTTTCTGTCCTCAGGGGAAGAAGCTGTGGCAGACCGTCCTCCCTGCTCCCATCACCACCATGGCGGTCATGGACCTTCCCACACGGGGGTTCCAGGCAGTTCTGGTGGGCCTTGCTAACTGTGAGGTGCAGCTGTTCCGAGACAAGAACCTGCTGAGCACCATCAAGACGCCTGACGTGGTCACCAGCATCTGCTTTGGCCGGTATGGACGTGAGGACGGGACAATGATCATGACCACCAAGGGAGGTGGCCTGATGGTAAAGATCCTGAAGAGGACGGCAGCGTTCGACGACAGGGACAGCGCCCCCGGGCCACCGCTGGCCCAGAGCGTCCGCCTCAACGTGCCCAAGAAGACCAAGCTGTACGTTGACCAAACGCTGCGGGAGCGAGAGAATGGTGTGACCATGCACCGCGCCTTCCAGATGGACCTGAGCCGCATGCGTCTCGCTGCTGCCAAAGCTTACGTCAAGGCTCTGGAGTCCAGCCTGACACCGGTGTCCTCAAGCCTTTCCGAACCGCTCAAGATGAACGCCGTGGTTCAGGGTCTGGGTCCATCCTTCAAACTGACCCTGAACATCCAGAACACGGCAGCCTGTCGGCCCATCATGAACCTGGCCATCAGCTTCCTGTACGACCAGAGCCTGTACCGCATGAGGAACCCGTACATGAGGATCCCGCTGCTGGTGCCTGGACTCGTCTACCCCGTCGAGACCTTTGTGGAGTGCACCAGTGACAAGGGCATCTCTGACATTATCAAGGTGTTCGTCCTGCACGAGGGAAAGAGCTGCCCCCTGCTGACCGCTCACATCAACATGCCGGTGAGCGAGGGACTGATGCTAAACTGACGATGCCGTGTTGCAACTTTATTTAAAACAGAAACAAGGACACAGAGGTTTAACATTTGGAAACTTAAAGTTAAAAATCATTAAATCAGAGTACGGAAGCAAAGAAAGAGCAAAACTGACATTTGAGTTTCACTCAATTTATTACATTTAAATATTTTATTTTGATAGATGAATGTGGGTCATATTGATAAATAAATAGATAAATAAAAGTCAAACTTGAGCGATTTGAACGGTCCAATCAGACTCTGTTCTGTTAGTCACACGATGCAAAACGCAGTGACCATCCATTCAGGTCATTATCACAAAGGAAACTGATTTTATATAGAATTGTAAAATGAGATGTTGACTCATCAGGTGAATGTAGATTTTTCTGATGTAAATTTGTGTTAT